AGTGTTTGGGCGAGCGGTCAATGTTTTCATGAGGCGAGCGAGCGAGCGAAAACAAAACGCGATTAAAATGCGGTCGGTTTCCGGTCGGACAAGGACCGCGTGGTCGGAAATTAAGCGATAAGCGGTCGATGTAAAAGCGGAAGGTTGGGCGAAATGAGTACTGTATGACCATGTTTCTCGGTCGAAAGTCTCGACTGACAATAATGCTGACAATGGACGTTAGATAAACACGCATTGTTTGCAACTGGAAGCTTATCACCCGTTATATCAGAATCATCAACAACAGAGTATACAGATAAGATGTTATCATTTAAACCCTTTCAAAGATAAACATTATGCAAATATCCACGAAAAGCCAGTTGTAGTCTTTTCTGCTAGTGTTTTAAAACACTAATTTGAGCAACGTTATTTCGCAATTTCGATCTTTTGTAAACCTGGGGTGATGTATCAAGGTCTAAAGTAACCGTTTTATCAATTTGTGAAAAATCAAGAAAAAAGTGAAAATTTCCCTTCTCGCTACCTTAATATTGTAAACAAATAGACCAACATTCACAGAGTTGAAATGTCCTGATACTACTTAATATCTTGAATCAATTTCGTCAAAATATATTGAAATCTTGGTTGCAAATACCACACTGCTTTAACAGGGGTAGGTAAAAGCATTCAACTGTGAAATGTTCATTACAAATGTAGATATAGTCGCCATTTAAATTTTTCAGCCAGAAATTTTATCCTTTGAGTGTAATTCTCGAGAGTATTTTTTACAAGGTTACTGCAACTTGTGATCGGGAGATGTCTGTTGGGTTATTGTAATTTTTTCCACCATAAACATTTTGTACATGTTATTTCCAAAAGCTTTTTTGTTAAGTTTCAAACCAAATTGATCAATTTTTTTTTTTTTTTAAATTATGATTATAGTTGACTTGCTGTGTAAAAATATTTAAAATTATCATTCTGTATTTTACTGAGGGGAGGCATAACCAGATCTAAATTTTAAAAAAATTTGGAGTAATTCAATTATATTGGAATAGAAAACTATGACAACTATTGCACACTAAAATGTTAATTTACGATCTAGTGAAGTATTTTGTGAAATTTGTTGTCGCTGTGAGAGTATTATACACACAAAGGGTTACACAGTAAATTAAAAGGGAAACATCGAAACAAATACATTTAAAAACCCCCATATGTGACACAGCTATTTACAAAACCAGTTGTCCCAAATCAATAAACTTAATTTGCATAACCAATACTTTTCTTTTTGTTTCCAAACCTTTCAAATCTTTTGTCTTTTTCCCAACAAGTTTGTCTACTAAGTTCCACCAACAAACAAAGCTAAAAACATTTTAACATTTTCTTTGCACTGGAAAGAGGTCAGCACTATGTTTTGGTGAATAGCAACACGATGTAAACAAAACATTAAACTCCATTTGTTAAAGTACATTCATTGAAAAAATGTATACAAATCATCTGTGTAGCAGAATGATTTTTTTTAAATTGAATTTTAAACTAATGCTCATGTAACCATTCTATGAAACAAAAAAATATGTTGAAGATCACATTACTATAATACAAAGATTATTAAATTAATACAAAAACCAAGATATAAAGATTACAAAAGATGATTTCTTGATTCTGATTATTTCTACATATGTGAGTGGCAGCTACAACGTGAATAATTTCATGCACCACATGAATAATTTAATTATTATTTATTTATTAAAGTTTCTGATAAAATAGTCAATAATTGTAGAAACACTTTGGGCAACATCTGTGTTTCAACACCCCCTCCCAAAATTAGGTTGGAAATTATACTGTAGTTTCACAAGAGGGACAATTTTTGCAGTATTAATTCAAAAGTTTTCCTGGAAATGTTTTTTTTTAACAAAAAATATAAATAGTTTTGTGTAACATGACCATGTATATTCATGGTTTATGGTTACAAAAGAGAATATTCGTTTGAATTGACAACAGAAGGATGTGTTGACATAAGCTCAAAATGCCCGAATTTGGTACGACTCTAAGTTGTTTTAATAACAAATATTAATCGTGAGTGGTATATTTTATTACTTTTTTTAGAACATGCATTCCCCATTAACATTGGTAAATACTGTCGCAGTAATTATCGAATTTAAATAATTATTAAATATGTTGATCAAGGCAAGGCTAAGCTAACAAAGAATAAAATTAAAATTCATGATGATAAAATAGTTTTAATAAAAAATTATTTTTCTTCCATTGGAATAGAACAGACTAGAGAGGCCAATATTGGGTATTTCTGTAGCAATATCGAACCACCAACTCACCTTAAGTTTTCGTTTTCCACTACCAACAACTGGTGAATTTGTTGTAGATCGGAGAGAGCGTATTGGTGATTTTGTCAACTCCAAGGTCCTGCTCCGCGTCTTGGCACCTTCTTCGGAATTCATGTCTTTTGAAAATAAAATATACAGGTAGGTTGAACACAGTTCTAGAGTCAGCCATATTGGAACCTGGCCAAAAGAGCTCTCACTTTCGGCCATAAGATAAAAATAAAAACTTACAAAAATAATGATCTTTAACCAAAACAATAGCTAAGTTGAAACACTAATAATTTGCTACTTTGAGTTGTGTTTTTTTTTGTTAATGTAACACTGAGATATGTAAAATCACAGGAAATGCTATGAATTGAAGTTTAAATACATGAGTGACGTGTTTTGTACATAGTCTTCATCAATTTGATTTCAGATCCACCCCAGTTTCACTTTCAACATGGGCATCAACAATAAACAACGAAATTGACTTAAACCTTTAAAATAACACACCAGAATTTAAGTACACATATCAACAACTAATTCTGGATAAATTCCACTATAATCCAAAACTTAAATATGATGATGAAAATTCACAAGTTTGTCAGCCATATCAGTCGACGATTACTTTTTCATCTTTCCCTGACAAGGCCACCTCCTTTACGATCGAACTAAAATAAAAAAAATAACTCCGAAATACTAAAATATTGACTCACAAGACAAAAATAACACACAATTTACAATATTTCGAACATGTCAATGGTATCCTGGAAAATTCTGCGATCGTTAACAAAGTTTTTCTGCGGAATATGGCAAATATCGGTGATAGCGAGAGTCCGCTGCACACCTAGCCACACAAAGGTCATCGTAATATCACATCCATGCTAAAATTAAAATCGCATGTTTCGGAAATCTAGTCACTCAAATTTTACCAAACTCGCTAAAATAATTTATAATACTTACAAATATAAAATCAAGTTGGTCTTGACGGTGAAAATTTGTCTGAAACTGACTGTCTAGTAACGGAGGTAAGTACGCGAAGACACCGTGTAATCATGTACGGTGAGCTACAGCAGGGGCACTCACTTTGTACTCGCGATGACGAAATAACAAAGGCGCTAATTTATGCATAAATATCGCTGTAAACAAAAAGCTAAAAAGTGATTCAAATTACGGTGCCGGGCGAATTAAAGTCAAATTACTTGAACTGGGTGATTTTGTCGATTTACTGTACAAATTATGTGTAGTTTGGAGTGATATATGTGACTGTAAGAATTGACGAACGTTGAAACCCATGAGGCCTCTCAACCTCATTAAATATGCCGGTGGTTAGTTTGCATTTCAACAGAACTTATGAAACTTATTGCGAGCAATCGTTGGCCGTGAATTACGTGTAAAAAGTGCGAAAACCTAACGAAAACCATTGTTACTAGAGTGTTGAGTGTTGGATGTCGCCTGCTCCATGGGTTTAATCATTTTCACTGGGGATAACATGGGACATATTGGGTTTTGTCGATACGACGGTTTGGTATGCGTGGAACTCGTGGTTGCTCACCAAATTCCACTCGCTCTGCACTCCGGCCAAATTTGACGAAATAAAATACGCCGCCAGGTCAAATCATGAATGTAGCTGGGGCAACCGAAACTACAGAAATGTACCGACCAAAGGCTGTGGTCGATTAACGGGCATACTTCTCCTTTTGTTCCAAGTTTTGAGTGAAGTTTTAGCCCGCCTAAATGAAATGTGACAAGACAAAAAGTTGTTGATTCGAGCAACTTGAAACAAACATACGATACGTAAACGGTGACCTCGTACGACTCGGTGCCGTTAAAACTCGGCACAGACACCAATATGAACACATCTTACCTCGTCCAGGGTAGGAGAGATGCTCTTTCCTGGAGTTTGGAGGAAGTTTGTTAACTTTGACCAGTTGCGGTTATATCATGTGACTACGAAACAAAGTAGACTTCCAAACTTTTCTCAACAAAACCTATCCCATAATTTACCAAACTTAGTAAGCCGCGCATGCTCACATCAATTAAGAACTAAACTTAGACCAACCAGAAGGTACTCCCGTTTCTTATCTTTTGCTGTCGTTTTTTTAACTGCCATTTACGCCACTTCCACCACTGATGTTGAATTTGCTGTAATTTTACTTCTGCTGCCAGTTGCAACTGGGTACCAAATTCAATTGTGGGAACAGACATGACATTTTCGCGAATAAACTTGCTGAAAACTTTTTGAACTTTGACCTCTTATCGTCGACGTAATGGTTTCAATGAATAGGCATATTTCTAACCACCCTTTATAGCCATGTTTAGTCATCGCTAACTTTAAAACTATGCAGGCATATAGTTGAACTTCCAATCTAGCGTTTACCTAGCATATCAGACTCCGCCTAACACAACCACGCCACACACGCTCGTTGTGCATACGCCCCATCACACTGTCTTTGTTTACATTCAATCGGGTCTCTATAGTGTGAGCTTATCACTGTCAGGGTGGGTGTATTTTTGAGAATTCAAAAATAACTTTTTAAATGAACTTTTAACCAACAACCCGAGTCACTGGCCTACTTTTATTTTGGATATCCCAGGCGGAGGGGGGGGGGGGGCACGGACGCGTGTACTGAACAAAAGACATTCACATATAAACAGTGACAAATCATTAGCGATGTCGGTTTCAGCATAGACCCTCCAGTAGGGTTTATGGTTTCAGTGACGTGTAAATGAAGATAAAGGCCTCAGTGTAGTAAAAGGAAACTGATTTTGTCTACACTGAGACAAAGCCCACATACCATTCTATAGAATTACCCGGATGTCAACGCAAAGCATCTCGGGTACTTTCAGGTCTTAATCAGATATGCATAACTTCGCACAAAGTTCAAACGTGCAAAATTTAGTCACTGTTTGTGAATCTTTTTTTTTTGTTCTGATCATATACCACGAGTTTTTGATTCATCGTTACATAATGCAATATATGGCGCATAATTACCAAATCCATATTATATCATATACTGTTGTGGGACTCGTGGCAGCTGGTCCTCAAGCGTGTTTTTGTGTCCCCTTTGTGTTGCTATCTTTTTGTTTGTTGCCCAGGTATTATCTTGTCTTGGTCAACGACGAAATGTGATGAAACACAGTCCCTCTATCCCTGATAGAGGGACTGTGAATGAAACAATGCAAGTGGATCATTTCACTTCAATGTAGTTGAATAAATGTGCATAGAAAACAATAATTGGTCGCTTTGACTTGGATCGCAGTGTCGAGTGTATTCCAAAGTAATCTTGAAATAATGCAGTGTTTTCACCCTCATTGGCCGCCCACCGTGATAGGGGGGCTGTGGCAGAATTTCTTTGTCTGTTTGGTTTGCTGGGCAGATACATTAGAGATTACCGGAAAGGAGGTACCCCGAACTATAATTAATGCTCTATCGTCAATTCAGTATAAATACATGTCGATTGTTGTGCAGATTTGTATTTGCGATTTAAATATGCTGCCCCTTTCACAAGATATACAGTGTATTGACGGACACAATTCCCCATTCTTCGTACATTCTCACCGTTCTCTTTTCGAGGAATATTTTTGTTTTTTAAATTATTGAAGCATAATAAAAATCTTTCAACATTTAGAATTCACCACAACGGCTATTAATTTGTAGAACATAATGGACATACTATATTACCAGTTCCCATAAACATTTGTATACACGTGACATGTCACGTGGTCGTCATAACATTTAAATATTCGTAATTCAGGACACAATACAATGAATATTGCCTGAATATAGTCAAAGCTAAGATAGACGTTTGCTGTTTATAGTTCTTGAGTAAATACCAACATTTGAATATAAACTCTATTATTTTCACACGGAAATGCTTTTAATCTTGGCGTACGTAAAAGTCAAACCATTCTCAAACATAAAAGACAATCTTCGCTGACACTCAGACAACTTGTTGCCCGAGACCAGCACCGAACACTAAATGTGTTCAAAATTCGTACTGTAACACCCTACTGGTAACTTCAAATTTGCCCAATACTTTACGAATATCACAATGTTTTAAAACATAACACGACTTGATTTTTTACTGTATTTTATATTTTAAAAACAATAGCGTTTGCGATCTCCCGGCCCCGCACTTCTCGCGTTACTTCATCGAAACAAAACATTTTAATTTTTATACTTGGAGATGATTAGACATTGATGATGAATAAAACATAATTATATATTATTAAACTTACTTGCAAAATTTATTTATTATTTTCAATATTTCAAACGAAGTTTCGGATAAAAATGTAACAACGTTTATAAATATATTATACAGGCCATAACTATATTATATATGTAGAACAAATTATATTATTAATTGAAGGCGATTGAAAACATTTTGTTTTACTTCAACAAACCATTATTCGGCTGTGTTAAAATTTTAATACATGAAATGCAAATATTTCATTGAACATTTGATATAGAATTGAAGAGGATAGTTAAATTTAAAGACGTGGTTTAGTGCATTTATCACTGACCTTTTTTTTTAGTAAAAACTGAGAATTTACTGAAATTTTGTCTGTTGACTCCAAAATTACGGTTCATTTCCAAAATTTTGCAAAATAATTTGGGCGAGCAAATCTGGTGATATCCAAGTCGAGATATCCATTTTTGGTTACCTTGACGCATTTC